CAGAGGGGACTCAGCATGCCCATGTGCCACCCTGGACAAGTGCCCATGCTGGGCAGGACAGGCATACCGCCCCAGCAAGGCATGATGGGCAATAGCATGCATCAGGGCATGATGTCTCCACAGCAGAGCCTGATGGCCCAGCAGAATTTCATGCTGATGCAGGCCAAGCAGAGAAGCATGTCTGTGTCGGGGGAGATGTATGCCCAGACAGGACATATGATGTCACCTCAGGGCTCTCTCATGGGGCCCCCGCCTCAGCAGAACCTCATGGTCACGCACCAGATGAGGCAGAGGAGTGTCTCCCTGGACAGCCAGATGAGTTATATCCCCGGGCCTGGGAACATGGCAAACTTGCCTTTTTAACCCTGACTGGCACTCAGGGCTGGGGTGGGGACAGGGCTGCCCCTACAAACATTTTTAAATCTTTCTCTGGGGGCGGGTTGGGGGCCAATGCCAGTGGAGGACACCACGTGGGATGCTTTTCATATTGGCTTTGCTTCTACACAGCAAACCAGATGTGCAGTAAACTTGATGTGAATTGGGTTTCTTTTTCCTTTCTTTTTTGGGGAAGGGGAGGGTGAAGAGGCTGGGAGTGGGGCTGTTACTTTGAACCCTTTGTGGTGACCAGGGACATCCAGACCTTGTGGCAGTTTGTAAAGTTTTCACTTATGGTTTTCCTCCGTCAAGTGTTTTTCTTGCCCTTTTTTTGCTTTCTCTTTTTGTTGTCCTTCCTTTTTAAGCAACCAAAATGTGCAAGAGGGTTTTTGGAACTAGCTGTAAATAGGTCGCTGGGAAAGACAAAATTTGTGCTGGTTTTTAATTGTCCTGTATTTCTGTGTTTTAATAGAAGCCTCAAAACATGTTTTAAAAACAAAGAAAGAAAAAAAAACATGCTAAAGGCAACAGTGTACAAGGATTGAAATCTCTCCGTGGGGGAGGCAGGAGGACCCCCAGGGTGTACAGGGTGTTGAGAGATCCCATTGTAGAGTGACTCTGTCAGACCTCTGTTGTTCCCCAATTGGAATGGTTATGCATGTGTGTGGAGAGGGGTGGTGCAGTGTCATGCAGATCTCAGGTCCCGTGGATACGTGGATACTATGCCGAGTACACAAACATAACCACTGACCTAGGGCCTGTGGGCAGGGGCAGGGCGAGGCCACCAAGCTGTAGCCCCAGTGAAATGCTGCTGGAGCAGTGCTCGTCTGGTAGGGCACAGGCCACATTTTTACAGCATGCAGCTGTTGCTGCTCTCGGGAGAAGCTGCTGTGTCTGGGATGGGAGGATGCCAGCCTTTCAGCTGGAGAAGCATCAAGAATGTGGGCTTCGCAGATGGTAACATGCTGGACCTGAAGGTCTTGACCAGCTCTACTCCCTTCTCTTCCCTTCATGCTGTGTCTCCCGTAGGCAAGGTGATGTGGTGGGTAGGGACAGGTGGGCTTTGAGGTGAGTGAGGTGATGCATTCCAGTGCTTCCAGGAGAGGCTAGCTGGGAACCCTGATCTTCTGCAGCCTTCCTACACAAGTCTATTACCTGTCCAATTACCCTTCACCACTGCGTCCTGCTCCCCCGCCATCGAATGCTTTCCCAGATTTTCTTTGTGTTTGTCAGTCCTTCATCTGTAGAGTTTTGCAGGCAGTCTTCATGATAACCTGAGCTACTGCCAGCAGCCCTGCCCTGTGGCACAGGAGAGGTCCAGCTCCTGAAGAGGACCTGTCCTTGAGGGCAATACTCTACCTCAGCGTTCAGTGTCAGCAGCATGGCCATCCTGTGCTTCAGACAGAAGAGGCCAAAGTTGAGTTGCAATCTCTCATTCCTAGGCTGGCAAAAGCATGCCATTTGGACAACTTTGGCTTTTCTGGATGCACTCTACCCTCTACCTTCTGTACTCCATAAGGTCTTCCTGCATGCAGCCCTGATGGTCTTTCCCATGGTTTTTCACAGAGGGAATGCGTCATGATGCACACATGTTTCTGCACACACCACAGTATCTCTGGACCTCTGTGGGGATTTGCAGTTCCAGCACCCAGTGGTGAACCTGGGGCACACAATTTGCTGGAGGAACACTGCTTGGAGGATTATCTCTGCAGAGCCAGGCTTAACACACTACCTCTCTTATAACAGAGCTCACCTTTCCCAACTTGCTGTTGCCGGGAGGAGACAGCTTTGGAAAGGGAGATTGCCAAGTAGTGAGTGAACAGACACAGTTTTTATCAGGTTGCAAGCTGTTTGGAAAGGCTGGTGGGTGCTGACATGTCAGCCCAGCTGTTGTCTTGATCCAGTCTGTGAGAAGATGGAATCATAAAGTCCAGTTAGGAATATATTGAAGCATTGGGGCATTTTGTAGTGCTGGGTGAGAAGCATGGGTTTGAATCTGAGGAAGGATCTTGCTCTAGTCTCCTGCTTTGTAGAGGTTTGTTGTATACAATGTGAGCAAGTAGCATTTTTTGAAGTGGTTAAGCATAAACAATCACAAGAATTTCTCCTTCCTGCCAAGGCAGTTGGAGCAGAAGAATAATCTTCAGCTCAGTCTTTGGACCTGACATGTTAGCTGGTTGGATTCTCGATCCTTTCAGTGTGTGTTTCATGCGGGCGGATATGGCTCAAACAGATGTAGCTCTTTTTAAGCTTGACTTGCCTGAAAGGCTGTAGCTTCTCTTGGCTGCTCTTCCGGGTGTTGGCTGCTGGTAGCTTCTCGTAAACATCCAAATACCAATTACCCAAACTTTGCTTATCATCCACCAGCAAGTGTTGGCTAATTTGAAGCCATAACGTTTTCTATATGGAAGTTTTTTTGTTTGCCTGTACATAGCTGCTGTTTTAGCCTGGTTGAGATCTCCATGTGTTTGTAGTTTCCCTGTTGTCCCTTTTGCCCAGCCTGACACAGAAGTTGCCTGGGGCTTGCAGTCCTCACTGTGTCAGCAGCACATTGTCCCTGTACCAGAAGGAGCCTGCAGGCTTGTGGCACATGCTGTGCAGTGCTCAGAAGACTAGTGCTGAGTGCTTACAGGCAGTGCGATGCTATTTCTGCCTGGCAACAGGAGGAAGACCTGTCCTTCAGTGACAAATAAGAAGCTAAGCCTTTTGACTCAGCAACCCAGGATGCAGAAGGGAAATCCTGATGATAGGTCAGAGCTGAGGACTCTGGAGCAGCAGGTGGTGCTCTTCTGCAAAATCTCACTGCCCTGGAGCCAGCCCTACCCCTACCACTGTGATGGCTGAACAATTGAGAGAAGAAATGCTGCCTAACACCCCTATGCCCTGGGCGCTGCTCCCAACCGTGTCTGTGAACAGCAATGTGGCAGGAGTTCCTTTGGAGGCTCAGTGACAGCCAGTCCTTGTTAGACCTGGGCAAGGTTTGCCATCAGCTGGTTGCCCACTGCCGTGACCTGTTTCTAGTCTTGTGTCTTGTAGTTTATTGCTCGGCTCCTCACCTTGAATTCTGTGTACTGACTCCACCTAATCACAGTAGAAGGTTTGCCCATCTATTAGCCATGACTTTGCCATGCTTTTCCAGCTCCAAAAAAGCGAATGCTGGAAAACAGCATCTTTCAATACGATGGATAATCACACACCTGGAATTAACTATCACACTGAGGTAAAGTTAACTGACCTGTTCTCTGTCATCCCATGGAGAAACTTCCCCAGTCATTTTGTACCATTATATAAATATATATATATAAATATAAATATATAAATACAATATGTGAAGACATCTTATTGGTTTTTATTTGAAACAATTTTTAGGCTTGTTTTTGGGTATCTGTGCTGCCTGTAATGTATTGATTGACCTGTTTTATAGGTGCCTTTTTATTAAAAAGACAAATTTCAAGACCTGACCCTGTGTCTGTATTTTTCCGCATGATTTTCCACAGGACTGCAGCAGAGACAGAGAGTGCGAGATGTGCTGGAAGGATTGCGTGGGCATTGGGGCAGCCCCTTCTCTGCAGCACTCCCAGGCACACATTCATTCATGCGTTCACTTACTTGCACTCACCCATGCATGCTCCACTGCCTGCCACGGCCCTGTGATCACTGTGTATGCGTAGCAGGATGCTCTCCTGGAACCCCAGCTCTGTCTCCTGGGAGACTTGGCTGGCCTGCAGTAAGTGCAGAGCAGTGTGCTGTTGTGAGGGTCTTTGTGTTCCCATCTTTGGGGTTGCCTTCATCAGAGACCAGGGCTTCCTCTGGTTTGTCTGCTGGAGCCTTTTCGCAGAGCACAGTCCAGGGCTGGAGGTGCAGAGGGTGTGCTGTGGATGGTGGTGACATCACCTTCCCACACATCATCTCCCTACTTTCTGCAGGAGCCACCTTGAGGCTCCCCTTGGCTCAGTCCCCCTTCCCGGTGGCCTGGGTGGGCAGAGTGCACCTGCCTCACTTGGCAGCCATGGCATAGGGGCTGAGCAGAACTCCACTGGGGAGGATGAAGGTTTGCCTGAGGGCTGCAGGGGTGGCTTTGACAGTGTGAGTACTTAGCAGGGAAGCCTGCTCTGAGGCAAGGTGTTGTGACAGCCATGCAAACCTTGGTGAGATAGCAAGGATTTTGCTAAGTGGAAAGCAGAGCTTCTTCTGCAGTGAAGGAAAGTTCCTCTTGCTTTCTTCTTGTCACCATTCAGCAGGCTGGCTGCAGGCAGCTGTGGGAAGAACAATCACAACTCTTTGGGGGAGGTCTGCCAGCTCTGAGCCAAGCCATTCCCAGGCTGGCTGGGCCAAATGTAGGTGTAAGGGCAGTTTTCCAGTCAGGTTAGCAGATGCTATAAAACTGGGGCAGGAGGAGTTAGTGGAAGAGGCTCCGTAAAGCAGAGAGGGTAATACAGGTCCGGACTGACTCTGAACACAGCAGAGCCTTCTGTGGCACTGGTGAAGGGGAATCTGAGCAAGGTGCTCCTCTAAGCCCTTTGAGCAGAGCTTGTCAGAAAGGTGCCATCTGCCCACTTAGTGCTCTCTGATGCATCTTCCTTGAATAAAGTGACACAGTTACAGACAAATGCTTACAAGCACTATACATTAGAACATGGTGTTTTATTCACCCTTTTATTACAGCTTACCTCAAAACTTCCTAAAGGTTAGTACATACCAATGCTAAAAGCTATAGTAACAATACATGTGTAGTCTGTTCACTTTCATTTGAGTGCAGATTTTCTTTTTACTTTGTGACCACTGTAGGAATTTTATACTTTTACTATTATTTCTTTCAATAACATTTTCATGAGAAACAGAGTTGTCACCATAACCTGCTGGGGAGGTGTTTACAATGCATCTGCAATGGGTTTTCTCACTGGTACAACCATGAAGAATACAAGTGCAGGCTTAAGAGACTTGCCCTTCTCTGCTGCATGTATGTGCCTGAACGACTACAATCACCATTACTTGAAAGTTTCATCTTTGAAGATACGGTGCTGCAGGAAATGGTGGACTGCCTTATACTAGGTGAGTTTTTCTCCTCAAATCACAATATGAGATCGAGCTGTTGAGATCTCTGCTGAGGTAATGTGCCCCTTTCCATAATGGCTGGTCTTTTTAGCAGGGCCCTTGACTACTGTGAAGTTCACCTGGGACTGAGCTGTCTGCTAGTGGGATGAACTTCAGAAGTGAGGTTAGCACAAAATTCCTGCTACCCCAGGAGAACTAACATTGTTTTGATGTTGCTTAAAATGTGAGGTGAAGGGTAGAGGAGATTTTTAAAAGTGTGCTTGTGAGAAGGGTTGTGCTCATGTGACATTGGTATGTATGGCTCTCCTACAGTTCAGGCCACAGCAGTCTTCAGGAACAGAAATGTCATGGAGCAGTGTTTTGGGCCTGCTGCCATGTTAAACTGTGACAAGACCTCCCAGGCAGCAGCAAGCTGTCTTGAGTCTGCTGGGGCTTCCCCACACACCAGCTCATGGTGCAAGAATTAATGATGGGGAAAGCTGCTGCTCTTACTTTGAACCAAATTATAATCAAGCTGCCCTGATCTGAGCAGTTTCTGCATACTTGCAGTTCAGGGCAAGATCACCACTCAGGTGTAGGTGGAGGAAAACTTAACAGAAAGCACAGTGCAAAGCAAAATGCCACATTTCCTCTAGCCTTGCTCAAAACAAAGTAGACTTTCCCTTATTCTGGGACAGTGAGTCTCCTTGCTCTCAGAACCCATAAATAGCCATACATCTAGCTGCCAAAAAAAAAAAAAAAAAAAAAAAAAAAAAAAAAGTTATACCATCAGCTTTACAAAGCTGTGTGGTTTCTCTCCCCTGTGTGCAGTCACAAGACAGAAGCCATCTCCTCAGATGGTGTTCCTCCTTAAAGGAAAACTTTTGTACAGTCAGGCATTCAGTTCAGCAGCCACTCACATGAGATCATAACAGCAATAAAACAGATCAAATGAGTGGGGAAGAATGCTACTGGTGTCAGGAAAGGAGTTTGTAACAGCCAAATCTTTCAGTCTGTGGGAGGACCTCCTGGCATAAGCTGTGTTGTGAAGATGAATGTGTTGTGGCAGGCTGGGGGGATGTTATGCAGCAGGAGGACAATGTTGCAGTCAAAGAGTGTCCAGCACTGTATGCCCATACTATTGGATTGAGCAGCCTCCATCAGTCCCACCTGCATCTGTCCAGTTGCGATGGCCACTGAGTCCCACGGCTTACCTTAAGCATGTGTGTACCAACCTTAGCTAGTGAAATGGAGACCTGCTTACTGACATGATGCATTTATTTGGCTGCACTTTTTTCCTTAACGCTGGCACCTGAGTCCCGTGCCTGGCTTTGTGCACAAGATGGCTGCAGTCCGTTTTTCAAGGGAGAGGTGGGAATATCAGATTCAACCCGCTTGAGTGACCATCGTCATCCAGCTCCACAAGAGTGACCGTCAGACATCCAGCATTCACCAACAGCTGCCAGATAGGTCTCTACAAAGTTTGAGAACCCGGAAGAGCTAAGAAAGGTGTCTGATGGGATGTGGGTGTTTGGTGGCTATTGGATCTGTTTCCTGAGGAGTGAAGAAAGTTGTGGGGATACTTGTGAAACTTGTAACTGAGACCACAGCAAGTGTGCCACTGGGAAGGAAAGACCCAGGCCACTTCTGCCCTGCAGGCAGCCCTTCTCAGCTAGAAAGTGGAGATGGAGGTGGTGTTGTCAGACTCTATCCCACTACCCTTCCTTGTCACCTCCAGGATCTCCTGCAGGGTCTCCTGGCTTATGCAGCCAAGCTCCTGCAGGATCCGGAAGAAGTCGTTACGGAACTTGACCCCAATAAAAGCGTAGAGGATGGGGTTGAGGCAGCAATGTGTGAAGCCAATGGCCTCTGTCACCATGATGGCTGTGTCCAGCTGGTCTTCCAGGAGGCAGTTCTTGGTGAAGGCTTCTAGCTTGGTAAGTGTGTTCAGGAAGATGACGATGTGGTATGGGCTCCAGCATAGGAGGAAGATGCCTGTGACCAGGATGGCCACACGAACAGCTTTTTGCCTCTGCAGGCGCTGGGACTGACACAGTGCCCGGATGATGGCCGTGTAGCAGTAACACATGACCAGCAGAGGCACAAAGAAGCCCACGGTGTGGTAGAGGAAGCGGGTTGCCAGCCACGCATTGTTTCCATCAATCCCAACCTCTGGAAAATAGCAAATGCTGCGGTTGCCGTCATCTGTCCAGACTTCCATGAAGATGAGATCAGGTAAAGTCAGAAGCAATGAGCAGAGCCAGACAGCCATGCAGGTGAGGTGGATGGAGTGAGCTCTGCGTTTGCGGTAGGTGTGGATTGCATAGACGATGGCCAGGTAACGGTCCACCGCAATGCACCCCAGCAGCATGCTACTGCAGTAGAAATTGATTTTGTGGACAGCACTGAGTATCTTACAGAGGAACTTCCCAAATACCCACCCAGCCAAACTCTCCACCACACTGAATGGGAAGGTGAGCAACAGTGCCAGGTTGGCCAGTGTGAGGTGGAAAAGGAAGTTTTCTGTGGTGGTGCGAGACCGCTTGAACCTCTCTAAAATGACCAGGACCAGAGCATTGCCCAGAGTCCCCAACACAAACATCAGCAGATAGATGAGGGGCATGAAGATCTTTCTGAAGGGGTCTCCCTGGTTGCCAACCACAGATGAGGCTGAGTTGAAGCAAAAGTAGCCCTCCAAAGAAGGGGTGGTGTTCTCAGCTTCGTAGTAACCACTCAGCTCCACCTGGCTCTGGGGAACAGAGAGAGTCTTGTTAATGGAGGGGAGTTTCTGAACAGAAGAACCCAGTCCCCCAGCTGCACCTGGCAGACCTAGAGCAGAGCACCCCCATGTCCTGCAGCCCACCTGCATCAGGAAGAGATGCTGTCAGCAGTGTAATGACGTTGGAGGCCCCTCTACTGCCAGGAGGTGCAGCAGCAGGTGGAGAGGATTTTATCCATCTGTGACAGTGAGGGCTGCTCAGTCTATAATCTTTAACTGGAGTATTGTTTTGGTGTCCAGTCAGATGATCAGTTTTATCTTCTGGTTCTTGCCAAGTTACCTGCTGGCGAATTTTGCTTTCTCACATAGAATGGAACCCTCCTCTACCAGCTTTCCTGATTTTTCCCACCCATTTCTTATATGGACCACTCCCATCCTGCCTGCTGCCTGCTGTCAGGTATAAAGGTGGTAGGATTCACCCCACAGCACATCTGTACCTCAAATTCTGTGCAGTGAAACTGTCCCCTTCTTCTCATCCTCAGAGGCCTGAGAGCTGCCTATGAGAGAGCAAGGTGAGGTGGGGTCATCAACAGCTGCCCTTTGAGATCTCTTCCCACACACTCGGAGGAAGGTGTGGGGCAGGTGTTCAACACAATGGGAGGAAAACCTCTGAGGCCCTGTGGTGCCATAGCTACAGGAAGAGATGATGGAGAGAGAGATCTGTTCTGTTGATAAACCTTTCAGTTCTGAATTAATTGCAGTCAGAGCAGGAAAGGAAAGGGAAAACACCACTCAGACTCCAGACTGATATCCAGTAAGGGAAGTGCAATAGAGCTACTTGCAGATGTGACTCGCCCTTGGCTTGCTGTATTTTCTTGACCAGCCTGCATTCAGGCTGAAGCTGAGGGCAAATCTTGAGTGCCAGGAAGCTGGAGCTCAGGATGAGCTCCCTGGATGGTGGTCATGCTTCAGCTGGCCTTGCACAAAATGGAGCAGTGAAGGAGGCTTGTGGCAAACTGAATATTAGTGACAATTGGGAAGAGCAGCAGTCACCCTGAGGTCCCCCACCCACACTCTCTCTGGAGACCTGTGCTGAGCCTTGTGTTGACCACAGCGGAAGTCTCTGCTAATGCTTTCATACCTTTCACTGCCAGCTGCAGCCGTTTGCACCTGCTGCTCCTTCCCTCATCAGACAAAGTTCCTGTCTAAAAATACCAGCCCTGCTTTACACAGTTTTGGACCTGATTTTGGGGGTTTTTGCTCACCCAAGGGGCTACTAAGCAAAATTACTGTTACCAGCCTGGAGTCTTGCGTTGTACCTAGCTAAGGAAAGGTGATTTATGTTTCTTCTCAGGCAGCTTTCCCTGGGTAATGCACTGGGTGCCTCTGCACATGACTGTGAGGGGTAAGGAGGGCACTTGGCAGCAGCAGGGCTTATCTAAACTCCTCTGCTACTGAAACCACCTGCATGGTTCCAAGAGGAGCTTGGGCATGCTGATGGGGCAAAAGTCTATGGGGCATTACCAAACTCACAGAGCACACATCAGGCGCAGGCAGTCCCCAAGCAGTGGACCACTCCAGTTTCCCAAGGGAATGAGTCCTTGGGAAAAGTGTGGAATAACCCTGCCCAGCTCTTGCTAATGTAACTGTGGGGCTGCAAGCCTTTGGTGAGAAGCATTTTGTATTACCAAAGAATTTTTCTTTTTCTGGCTTAGGGTATGATTTTGGGCCTTAAGAAATCCCTCCCAGTTATTTTTCTACCCAGCTTGAAAGTATTTCCTGCTTACTCTGTACCCGGACCTGTCATGAGGAGTTGACAACACACATAGAAATTTGTGATCTGGTGGCCAAGGCCAGATCCTTGAACCTCTCTGATAAAAAGCAAAGCAACCTAAAAAACCTCTGCAATTTTGTGTAGTGACCAAACCAGGCTGCTCAGGCTGTGCAGGTGACTGTGCTAAAAAACCCAAATAGATTATATGTTGGAATGGGAAATTTCACTGGGAAGAGGTTGGATGATTCCAGCTTTGAAGGGAAAAAGGTAATGATGAAAAATAGCTGGGTTTGCTAGCTTGGAGCCATGCCAGCACCATCGATGGCAGTGGATGGGCAGCTTGGGCAGTGTTCAGCGGCTTTGGCTGCTGACCAGTTTCCAGCATCACCTTGTATTTGGAGCCAGAAGTGCAGAGGCTGAGTGCCACTATCAGACACCATCTGATTGCTGATGGGGAGCAGGTAGGGAGGGCTCTTACTGTAAACCACTCGATGTGGGTAGGGGAAGCGTGTTGGAGCTCTGTTTGAATCGCCCTTTCCTGCATCTCTGAGCAGAGCAGGACATGTGGGTAGGAGCAGACAGAGATGAATTGGAGACAAATAGAATGAAAAATCAGAGTCTGGGCTGAGACAGGAAGGGCAGGGACCAGAAGCTGCAGGAGATCTACTGAATATGGCAAGCTGAGGCTTCTGGGAACTCTGCTGCAATTCTAGGACTGAAAGTGGGTGGCTGCCTGATCTGGGATGGGATAAGTGAACAGTGAGCATGCAGAGGGACCTTTGTACAGGTCTCCTGCATGACAATTGCAGCAGGTTTGGGGGTGGGAGAAAAAGTGTTGTCTCTGTAATAGAGCAATTGAGTGCATGCCTGGGAAAGCTGTTCCTGCATGCTTTTTATTCGAGGATCCCTTTACCCTATAACCTGCATCACAGAGTTATTCTGGTCTCCCTTTGTCAGCTGTTTTTCTCAGTTCCCCACAACTGTCAGTGATCAAAATATTTGGCTGTAGAAGTGAAGCAGCTTGTCCACTGTTACGGATTTTCCATGTGAATCATTCCCTTCTAGTCAATGCCAGGGCTGGGAGCAGCAAATCTCATTTTGAAAACCTTAGAACTGTAATTGCCCACATCAATACAATATACTGACAGAGGTTCTGCTCATGACTTCTGCAGGGGCTGAACCAGGGAAATCCAGGAATAAGACCAAGGCCTGTGGAAATTACATGTTACTGCAGTGTAGGTGCCTTAACGCTCTTGAGTCATGTTGGTCCCATTGCAATGAAAACTGGTCTGAGGAACCTCGGGAACCTAGTATAGATCTCAGTGGTTTTTCTGCAACTTGTTTTTGGATGTCTAGTCCACAGCTGAGGAAGGTTAGCAGGCAAAGCGTTTTTGATATGGTGAAATGGGGTTATCATTTTGGACCTGGTACTTTTCTGCAAGGTTACAGAGTCAAAAGGTCTTGTATGGTATCAAAATTTACGTGAGGCCCTCACTGTATTCACTGTGTGATACTGAGACAAATGCCCTTTTGGTGTAAACGTTCTCATAATTTTTCCTTCCATAATTGCTCAATTGATCAAATGATCCTCTCTGCACAAGGCAGAGTTTGTGTTGCCACCTTGACAAGACACTTTGGAGGCCTTTTTTTTCAAATCTTTATGGGTAGGTTGCTGCTACAAGCACTGAGTATAAGTAAAGCAACATATGCCACCACCAAAGCAAATACATTGATGTTCATGTGATATCTGCGGCCTCCCTATTCCAGGGAGGGAGCCAAATCTGGGAAGCTGCCAGAAGACAGAGGTGGGAAACAACGCATATCAAACTCCTAACTGCAGAAGTCTGAGAAAAGGTCTAAAACTCTTCCTGCTGTGGCACCTGACTGTGGGCGTTTAGTCCTAAAATCAGCTGGGTTCTACCATCCAACCCTCCCCTCACATGGGGTCTTCTTTATGATGTAAAAGAATTCACAGCAGAGATAAAATCACAAAGCTAAGGATTATGTAAAGTTTTGTATGCAAACAAAATGAGATGAAAAAGGTTTGAGTTTGGCTTTAACCTCTCAGCAAATTTTAGCACTGCCACTGAACTTCAACAGAGGTCAGGGAAAGAAGTGTCTTCTCCAAAAAAGTTTTAAAGGAATGACCACTATTTGCAAAGGATTTTTATACTGGATGAATGAGAAAAGAAATAAATAGGGTAGGGCTTGCTCTTCCCTGGTGTGTAGGAAAAAAGGAAGAACAGAAAATCTGGTAACAATTGGATCCAACATTTCTCTTTTTGGAATAACTAATCCTGAGGTCTGCTGCAGGGAGCCACTGTAGTAAAAAAATAAATTCTGAGATGCAATATTTGATAACCAGGTTAATGATAATGCTGCTGTGTTCTTCCCATTGGATAGCACAACATACTCTATAAGGTGCAGCTGCTCTTTTTCACTTGTAAAGGCTGGGAAGAGAACTAAGGTAGAATACCTAGTGTCATCACTCCCTGTTAGAAGTAGTACTTGCAATCTATCTCCCACTCTTTAATCCTCTCTTGTAAATATACTGCATGTTCCCCTTTCAGCAGAGTATATGTGGAGCCATATGTATGGAAGCTTGTATGTGGAGCAAGCAAGCAGGGTGGTCATACCAAGGGTTTTCACACACGTAGAGAGAAGACTGGGTTTGCTTGGGTATTCCAGTTGTCAAAGGAGACCAGATAAGGTGTACAGGGCTTTGCACACTGTGTACACAGTCATTTGTACCACTGAAGTCTGGTGCAAAAGGTTCCTGGCTCAGAATAACTGCTTTATGCCCATGTTGTGCTAATGGCTGTGCAGACAGCAGGGCAGCAGGAAGCAGAGGCAGGGAGAGGCTGGCAGCACAAGATGGGACTGCTGGAGCCCCGCTCTGGCAGAGACTCCTGGCCCCTTGCAGAGACTCTGGTCTGTGTCCTCATGAAAGGACAGTACTCGGGCTTAGTGCTTGCCAGGACAGGTCCCGGTAGCTTTCCCCAGCAGAATACCCAGCATCCCTGGATCACAGGCTGGAGCCACACTACACCAGCTCTCTGCAAGCAACAGCTTGTAGTCAAGTCTGGACTTAAGGGATGCAAGGACTAAATATGCTGGCATAAGAAATGGCTCAAGCTCTGCCTCTGCCAACAGGAGGGTTAGAAGATGGATGGCCAGAAATCTGGCCTTTCAGCCCACCCTAGCTCTACCTGCCATCCCTGTTATCAAGCAAAGCCAGGCCCAACTCACCAAGTCATAGGTCTCTGATGAGTAGCTGACAGGCCCCATAGTTTGAGGGGCACGATCCGTCTCTCCTCCAGAAATTGCTGCAAAAGTTATTTTCTGGGGTGGAGTTAATAATTTAAGTGAGTGGGGAGGGACACAGAATGTAACAATAGAGTATTTGCAAGGCAAATGAGCTCCAGGCATAGAGTGACCTGATTGATGTAAAGATTAACATCTAGCTTTATCATCTTTTTACTAGTGCTGTAATTGATTTTTAAAGTAGAGTTTGAAGAGTCCCTATTCCTTTGATCTATACCACAGAAGATCCAGAACATATTTAGGTCTTCCTTGGAAACCTTGCCCACAGCTGTCTTTGTTACAGGTGGTCCAAAAGGCTTTGAAAAGTTCTGTGCTAAGGACCACCCTTACCAGAAACCTCCTGGATCCAGGCACTTCTCTGGAGCTGTGCAGGACTTTGAAGCAC